CAGGCCTGGTGGGGGTCAATCCTGCAGTGCAGTAAAGTGAAGTGAAGTGTGCGCAAATATTTAATGATCTAATGATCAGCTAAGCATTAAAGACTTGGAATAAACAATTAGAGAAAATACTGAGACGAAACACTTAGAAGAAATACTTAGAGGAAATACTTAGAGGAAATACTGAGAGGAAATACAAAGAGGAAATACAGAGAGGAAATAGTTAGAGGAAATACTCGGATGAAAAAGTTAGAAGAAATACTTGGCAAAAATACTTAATTGCTATGCAGTCTGGCAGCCCTATGACCAAATTTGAAAATTCACACACCTAACACTTCATATTAAATGTATAATTAGATATTCACTTGCAATACGTTTGGGAAATGTTAACATGGCATGAGGGGGACGCCGTGTTTATATTCAATTTAATCAAAAATCACGTTTAAGTAACGATCTGCACTCGCCGCTGCCCCAAGGGAAACGTTTCGGCAACGTTGTTGCTATTGTTGCCGTTAGTGTTTGCACGTGCAACAGGCCGCAAGCCGCACAAAGCGGTCCGCGTGCGGTCGCCGGGCGGGCGGGCGGATGTGCCGCCAGGGCAATGGCGCCTGTCCACAACCCTTAATTGTGCGTGTAATCAGCGAGCTGGCTAAAGACCCTGTGACACTTTTCCATTGTGGGGGATGGTGGATTTCAAATGCCTTGTAAATGCAACTAAGCAGCTTTTTGCTGTGACCTTCTAAGTGAATGGTAATAAGTGTTTGAGGGTGACGTTGATAATGTGATTTGACTTGATTAGTTGGCATTATCGCAAGATTGATGGAGCATGTGTCAAATAACATGTTAAATCAGTGCAAGCCTTAAGCGCTTGGTCAACCCAAAACAATTTGTTGTTGTAGTAAATTGATTTTTGCTTAAATTTTAAGTGAAATTTAATTTTACATCGTGCAGTTAAAATTTGAAATTTAGACCTGACATAAGCTGGGTGCTATGGCTGCCGTTGCCAGCAAGCTACAAGAATTTACAGTATCAAAATATTTCAAATGTACTTCAAAATAACACAGATAAACATATACACAAATCTTTGGTATAATACTATTGAAATATATAAATATAGTCATCGATGTACCAAAAGATAATAATATTATGTACACTTAAGCACCATTGCTTTGTACCTAATTGGAGAATACTCTGAAAGGTACACTCAAATTTCCTTGTTTAATAAATTGTACCATGCCAATTATTTTTCCCAGTACATATAATATTTTCAAACGTGCAATGGATAAAAATGTACCAAAAAGTACCAGTTTTGTTAAATTTGTACCATATTTAAGCATTAGAATTTCACATTTGGTACTTTTGTAGCCGATACAGCAACCTCATCTCAACAGCTGTTTAGTTTACACATTCTCAGCCAACGGTCACACTCATGCGATATAAATGCCAACAAATTATCGATTTGTTTTCGTTGTGCGCCTTTTTGCACCAACGTCCATGCGAAATTAATACAAAAAAATGCAACGCGTAAGTACGACTCCATTATTATTAATAATATTATGCTTAAATATCTACATTATTGTTGCTATTGACAGGGTATAGACTCGTTCTTCAAGCGAGTGCCCAGCAAGAAAACCAGCGACGAAGATGCGACATCGCCGCCAACGCCGGCGCCTCGAAAGCGGAAGGCCCTGGCCATATCCAGCGATGAGGACGAGGTGCCCGCCAGTCCGCAGATAAGCAAGCATGGAAAGGAGCTGAAGAAAACACGGCGTACACATGATGCTCCTGACAATGGACACGGCACCAAGAAACCCTCGTTGTCCAAGCTGAAGGAGCCGCCCAAGCAGCTGAAGAAGGTGGATCCCTCGGAGCTGTTTGGAGGCGAAACTACACGCATAGAGGCGCCCAAGCCGAAGGAGCGTAGTCTCATCGAATTGGAGGATGAAGACATTGATCGCAGTCTCATGGAGGTGGATGTGGATGATCTAATTCCCAGTCCGGCGGCTAACAGAAAAAGAAGCAAGCCCAGCAGCCCAACCAAGACTCCCAAAGATGAGGCCAAGACGCCCAAAGTTGAGGCCAAGACGCCCAAGGCAGATGCCAAGACACCCAAGGCGGAGACAAAGACTCCCAAGGCGGAGGCCAAGACTGCCAAGGCCAAAACGCCTAAACAGGAAAAGCAGGTGGATCTGGAGAGCAGCGTGCTATCCGATGAGGAGAGGCACGAGCGCAAACGCATGGCCGCTGTGCTTTATCAGAAGTACAAGAATCGCAGCAGCTGTCTGAATCCGGGCAGCAAAGAGATACCCAAAGGATCGCCCGATTGCTTGAAGGGATTAACATTCCTGGTCACTGGCATATTAGAGTCCATGGAGCGTGATGAAGCCGCCTCGGTCATTAAGGGATTTGGTGGGCGTGTCATGACAGTTGTGGGCAAAAAACTCAACTATTTGGTAGTGGGCGAAGAGGCTGGACCCAAAAAACTAGCTCAAGCTGAGGAGTTCCATGTAACTATACTCAGCGAGGATGGACTCTTCGATTTGATAAGGGAAAAGTCAGGTGAAACTGTAAAACCGAAGAGTTCCGAAGTAAAACAGGAGAAGAACAGCAGCCCGAAGAAGGTTAAAAAGGAGCATGAAGAGAAGAAAAGTCCGAAAATGAAGCGCGAGCACGAGGAAAAGAGTAGCTCAAAGATTAAAAGAGAACTGGAAGAGAAGAGCAGCAGCATGAAGCAGGAGAGTGAACATAAGAGCAGCTCCAAGATTAAAAAGGATCCAGACGAGTTCAAGAACAGCAACGGCTTCAAGCAGGAGTCAAGCAACAACGGGTTAAAGATGAAGACCGAGCAAAATTCCAGTTCACAGATTAAAAGGGAGCCCAACAACAATGTGGCTAATGTTAAGGAGGAGGATGTCAGCCTGAATATGGCTTTGGTAGATAAATACAAGCCCACTTCAATCAAGGACATTGTGGGCCAGGCAGGAGCGAACAGCAATGTCACCAAGTGAGTCGAAGTGAATACTCTGTACTTCATGTATATTCATCTGATTGATTGGCTTATGACTTCTCTCTCGCTCTCATTACAGATTGATGAACTGGCTGTCCAAGTGGTATGTGAATCACGATGGCAAGAAGAAACTACAGCGACCCAATCCGTGGGCCAAAAATGATGATGGCAGCTTTTACAAGGCAGCCCTGCTCTCCGGTCCGCCTGGCATAGGCAAGACAACAACAGCGACGCTCGTGACCAAGGAGCTGGGCTTCGATGCAGTGGAGTTCAATGCCTCGGATACGCGCAGCAAGCGCCTGCTCAAGGAGGAGGTGTCCAGCCTGCTGGGCAACAAGTCGCTTGCTGGCTATGCCAATGGCAAGACGCAGGCAGTGTCCAAGAAGCATGTGCTCATCATGGACGAGGTTGATGGCATGGCTGGCAATGAGGATCGCGGCGGCATGCAGGAGCTGATTGCTCTGATCAAGGACAGCTCTGTGCCCATCATATGCATGTGTAACGATCGCAATCATCCCAAGATACGCTCGCTGGTCAACTATTGCTACGATTTGCGTTTCCAGCGACCTCGTATCGAGCAGATCAAGGGGCGCATCATGAGCATCTGCTTCAAGGAGAAAATCAAAATGTCGCCGGGCAAGCTGGAGGAGATTATTGGCGCTACTAACAATGATATCCGACAGACCATCAATCACATTGCGCTGCTTAGCGCTGGCGAGCAGCTGCCAGGCAATTCCACAGCCCCTCAACAGGTAGCCGCCAAGGACTTGAAGCTGGGACCTTGGGAGGTGGTGCGCAAGGTCTTCGCTGCCGACGAGCACAAGAACATGAGCATCTTCGACAAATGCGATTTGTTTTTCCACGATTACAGCATGGCGCCGCTGTTTGTGCAGCAGAATTATCTTCAGGTAACGCCGCAGGGCAATCGTAATGAGATTCTCTCCAAGGTGGCGGCGACTGCAGATGCACTCAGCCTTGGCGACATGGTGGATAAGCGCATACGCGCCAACTCCGCCTGGAGTCTGCTGCCCACGCAGGCCGTCTTCAGTTCCCTGCTGCCTGGCGAATATATGTGCGGTAATTTCACGGGGCAGATCAACTTTCCCGGCTGGCTGGGCAAGAACTCGCGCAGCAACAAACGCTCGCGTCTCGCCCAGGAGCTGCACGATCATACGCGCATCTGCACATCGGGCTCCAGGCAGTCCGTACGTCTGGAATATGCGCCGCATTTGCTGGCAAATATTGTGCGGCCGTTAGCTGAGGATGGGCAGGAAGGCGTGGCTGCTGCGCTGCAGGTCATGAAAGATTATCATTTGCTGCGCGAAGACCTGGAATCGTTGATCGAACTGTCCAGCTGGCCAGGCAAAAAGTCTCCGATGGATGCTGTGGATGGACGGGTCAAGGCGGCGCTTACACGTGCCTACAACAAAGAGGTGATGCCGTATTCCTACTCTGCGCAGGCCACCGTCAAAAAGAAGCGCGCCGAAGCAGCAGGTGATGAGGAGGAGGCGGGTATGCTGTATGGCGAGGAGGATGAGGGAGGCCAAGTTGCGCAGTCCAGCGAAGATGAAGACGACGACAAACTGGAATTGGATGCATTGATTAAGGCCAAAAAAAAGCCGGCACCAGCAGCTAAAAAGGCAAGTGGATCAGGTGCAGCCAAACCCAAAGCCAAGGCCAAGAAATAAGTAGTTCCTCACATTGTTTAGTTAGTTATGCAGCCATTTAGCGATATTTCTGCACGATTTTTTTATACATTTATTTTTAGACGCCCAAAATCAGATGTTATTACAAACAAAATTATATTTAAATAGGCGCGGGCATTAAACTGAAACGATTTATCCAAGTTTGATTGTTTGTTATTAATAAGGTATAAACATCGATGGACGATATCATATTTCTGCCACAATAAATGAACAAATATTTTTGTAAGCATGACTTATCGATGGTTATTTTTATATACCTAGATATCGATATGAAATACATATCGCACACCAATGAGCCCAAACAGCTGTCAGAAGTAAAAATGGCGTTGTCGTGAACGGTTCGTACAGATTCCTACGCACCCCGCAAAAAATTCATTAAAAAATGCAAATTGCATTTCCAACGGGCAATTGACAATAACCAAAAAATAAAACTGTCAACAAAATGTGCGCGCTACTCTAACGTAACAAATAGACCTGCAGTAACTGGCATGTGCGCGCATTATTTTAAGTATTTAGTTGACAGTTTAATTCGTGTTTTTTAGCTGTTTACTTGGTTAACCGTTTTTGCACCAGTGAAAAAATTCTGTGCCCGTGTATGAGTGTCGTGTTGTGTGTGTATATGTGTTTGTAAAGGGCGCAGCAGCAGCGTAAGAAAAAAACCTAACAGACAAGTGTAAATGTTCCAAAGTACCATTTAATTCGATTAGTTTAATAAATTGAAGTTCAAAGCGTTCTCTGTTCATTTTGCGCAACTCATTGGAGCCGCTGAAAATTCAATAAGCACGCAAAATTCCAGAACACACACGCATACAAGGAAAGGCGTACAGCATCACAGGGGGAAAGGAACACGAATACGCGCACGCACACACACGTAAGTGTAGACTTCGACAACAGCTAACTGGGTGGCGCTGCCGCACACATACATGCATACAGACTCCCAACCCCTCCTCGTTTACTATTGTGTTAGGCACAAGGACGTTGCTTATATGTATGTATACACAATACAGTTCACCCATACATGCGCAGCAGCCTGTGATAATACAACAGTTAAGGCTAGCTTGAATAGCTGTAAACACTTGTCGCCACCTGCCGCGCCTTGATTTATTTATTTGTAATATTTGCCTGCGCCTCTCAATTATGTTTTTTCACTCACATGTTTACCTTTTAACACACACACACACACACACACACACAGCCGCACGCACGCATTGACACCCGCCCTTTAAATTCAGGTCATTGCATTTGTTGCTCTCTCCCGTACGCCCACTGTGCCACTCACTCTCTTCTGTCTCTCTCCCAGACTCACTCTCTTTCTCTCAATGATGTACTGTTGATTTTTCAATATATATTTTCGCTTTCATTTCGTGCTGAGCTTTTGTCACGCCAATCAAATAAAACGCACGACTGCAAAGCCTCAGTAACCCGCTCCCGAACGGTAAAATAAGCCCCACTGTGTTTCTGCAGCTGTTCGTTGTTGTTTCCTTTTCTTTCTGCACAAATCGCATTTTTGCATTTTGATAGTTCACACGCAGTAATATGAAAAAAAACCTAGTTAGGTTCGATAAGAATACACACACACATTTACACAACTGTAATGTTTGTTTAGCGGCTTTTCGTGTTCAGCTGCCTCGTTTATTAGTTGAAAGGCAGCTGATAATAAGAACAACACACGTTGAAATATAGATAAACGATGTGCACTTCATATTTCTAGTGCTGTTGTTGTTATTGTTGTTGCTGCTCGGGTTGTAGTGCCATCCACATACACGCATTTCGTTATCATGTTGGGTGTGCGTTAGTGTGTGTGAGTAGGCTAGAGATAAGCGCGACAACTCACTTGGCAAGGCAGGGGCTAGCTGGAAGAAGAAGCTTGTTAAAAATACAAATTGTTTATACAGCTCTTGAATATTATTTGTGTTTTCTGTATTTTTCTTTTTTGGCAACGCCGCCCTTTCAAGCGCTCAAATGCTGACATCATCAGCAGCTTTTTATCTTTGCCTGTGTGTGTATTTGTGTCTCACTCTGGCGCTCTAGGCTGGATTTACTGAAATTTAATTTGTGACAAACAGCAATTTATATGGCTATTGACAGAGAAAACCACAGACAAATATACATACATTTATTTCATTTCTATAAATTTAACTGAGCAATGCCAAAAATAAGATACTCTTGCAATCATTTAATGTATTTTACACTATACATAGGTATAAATCTGTATGGCTTAAGTTACATTTAATTTTAGTTTGGTATCAAAATTATGTAAGTGCCTGATATTTCATATAATATAATATTCATATTTTCAATGAATACATACAAAAGGATCTGTGAATTGCTGTGGTTATAAAAACCTTTAATAAACAGAAACTCTCTACTATACGACCATTCCAATAGGAATTTAATAGCCACTGAAAAAGTGTATTAAAAATATATATATATGTATTCGACAAACAGCGACATTTTTCCGATTTGTTATTATATATTCCCAGATACATATTTTGCAATTATTTACAAAACCAATAAATAATTCTGTTTATGGGCTACGTTCCCATTTCATTTAATTTTTCTCAGACTGACTTAAGTCTAGACTGGTCAAGTTGAAAAGTGGTTTAGCTAGCGGTTCTTTAACCTATTTCACATCTACGATCGATGCCAGGGACCAGTTTTATTTTGGTGATGAGCCAGCGACAAGTTCCTCAAGATTTGTCATTAATGACGATTATGCGTCGTGGCGTACTTGTTTTATGGCTCCCCAGGATTAACTGGTAAAACGGCATTCTATGTGGGTGCCGTTACAAGCATACTGACAGCAGCAGCAGCAGCAGCAGCAGCAGCCGCAGCAGTAACAAATGCAATTAAAATCGGGCTGAGGAAAATTCTATGTCGACAGACAACTGAATTTGCCACATGTGGCAAGAGTTTTTATGAGCTGAATACACACGGAGATGATCGTAAAGCAGGAGTCTGCCAGAGAGGGACGGGGAACGTGTGCACGATAAACAAAGGCGAGAAATTTATGTGTATATATAGACATGCCTATATACCCGTATATGTGTGCATGTGTGTATAGAAGTTCATATAAATGAGCAACTGTTTTGTTTGCCCGGTTGTTTGGGGAGTCTACATAAATACTCTTCGACAGAGCATCTTACTTTTGACGATGTAAGGTTTTGCTATATAATATAGTCTCTGTAATTTGATTACTTTAAAAGTTAAATTTGTTCGGATGGTTGTAAAAACTTTCCTAAAGCATTTTCCCTTACAAAGTTTCGTGTTTCAATAGCTCACAATAGAGAGTTTATATAATACTATATATAACTAAGGTTTTGCTTTTATAAAATCGGAAATATAACTCAAGCAACTGCATTACTTTAGTCCATATACCTAAATATTAGATAATAAATGAATAATATTTTATCTTAAAATAACCTTGCTCGAAATAAGAAGTGTATTACAAGTTCGGCAAAGGTAAGCGAGTGTATTCCTCCTTGTTAAATACATATTTTAATGAACTACATAAAGACTACAGACTGACTTTGCTGAGGTTTGATTTTGAATGCACTCGCTACGTAGCAACAACTCAGCAGTCTGACAGACAGACCAAAGGAGGGAGACAGAGTCATTGAGAGAGAGATACAGATAGTAGATGTACAATGTACATCCTTTTATACATGCGTACACCATATATCGTAATTTGTTTTGCTTTGCATTTTATTTTTAAAACCAACTACGAAAGGAAAAACAAAAAAGTGACTCGACTTGCCATGTGGCGATGGATGCAATGGATTGGAATGGAAGTGCTGGAATGGGCTGGGCAGGCATAGGTCGATGCTACTGCAGGGATTTTTAGCTGCCTACGCAAACATCCAACGGCAATTGGCTTTAGTGAGTTGTCTGTTTGTGCCTCCTCAGCTGCTGCCTCACTTTGTTTCATGTACAAAAACACAATTAATAGTATTCAAGTGATTCATCATGCATTTTGATATATTCTGTTGATTTTAATTGAGATGCATGTGTAGATACAAGCTGGGATGACAGTTCAAAATTGACTAAAGTGAAAGTAACGAGATATGAGTGAGAATTTATATAGAATATTTATAAAATGAAATCACGAAGCTGTGATTCGAAGTGTTTTTCAGCGTGGCTGAAGGAAATTTTTTTAATATTCTATTTATCCTACAAAAAGCAAATCAATTATAAAGTTTCCGAGATAACACATTCTAGCCATTCTATAAATAATTTCCACTAGGCCTCAGTCATAGATCGGTTTCTTAATATGCAACACAAAGCTCAGCGAATGAAGAAATCGGCAAAAAGTAAAGAGAGAAGAAAAGGAAAGAAATAACTCAAACTCATAAATACAATGCGAAAGCCAGCGGACTTGAAACGTTCCGTCAGCAAACCGCAATTGAAAATATACACACACGTGTGTGTGTGTGTGTGTGTGTGTGTTTGTGTTTGTGTGTGAGGAAATCAATTAGTATTGTCAAAGCATTTCTGTTGGTAGTGACAGGCAGAGAAAGACTAAAGTCAACAGTAGAAAACAACACACAGATACATAGATACACAGCCACATACTTATAGATACAAATACCAGTCGCAAGACCAAAGCTTCAAAGGGGAACATACAAAGAAAATATCAAGTGGGCGCATTGATTAGATATTAACAGTCAGTTGAGTGTAGAGTGGGGCATTTAATTTATAACAAATCACTGCAATTTGCCACAAATACAAAACAATCTAATATCTTATGAATAAAACAAAAGAACAAAGCAAGAGCGAGACTGCGAGAGAGAGAGAGAGAGAGAGAGAGAGAGAGAGGGAGAGGTACAGAGACAGGAAAAGAGGAGAAGACAATGAAAGAGAAACTCAAGTGCTGTGCAACTTGACTGACATTTCAAGAAGCACGCTCAAAGGGTTGCAGATAAAACACACACACACACACACATATATACACACTCACTAACACCCACAGCCAGTCCACAGAGAGAGACAAGTGTTCAAGTATCTGATGGTCAGGCACACACTCAAGTTGAGCTCAATTTGTACGCAGGCCGAGGGCTCAGCGCAGTTTACTGAATTTATGTTTATTAAAACGGATATGGAAATCGTTTATCGATCGAAAGCCCCCACCAAAAATATTCATAAAATTTTCAAAATAAAACCCGTTTGCAAGTCGCGTGCCGATTAAAACTTGTACAACAATTCTCATTTGGCAATGCCTGTAATTAAGCACAGACATAGATGAATAAACACTGAGAAATCCACTAGATATATTGTAATCAACCTTTGTTAAGGTTCAACATCAATTTGGCACCATGACACGATCTATATAATATTTGCTAAAGTAAAAAAGCAATTTTTAAATTAAGTATTACTCTCTTGGAGTAGCTTAAATCAATTTGTAATTCCGGTCAAACAGGAATTCAAATCGGTTTTTTCTCCAAGTGTATTTACATATAAATGTGTCTATTATTAAGATGCTCGCTATTTTGTTGTATTCCCAACGTGCTCATGAGCTACTGGCTATATTTGTTTTGCTGCTTTGTTGACCCATTTCAGCTGTTCGATTAACTTGTTCTGAGCTGCGCGACTACGAGTTTTAGCCATGTTCTCTGAGTAGCTATATAGCTATATAGATATTTGTCACCGTTCTCTTTTTAATTCGTTAAATTATTTTGTATCCACACAAGATGCGAAGTCAATTCAACAAGAGCGAGAGCCGCAACACTAAAATCAATACGAATCTCGGCAAAAATGGAGCGCAGACAACGAGTTAAATATCCAGCAGAGCTTACATAATGCTAGATACACATTGATGTAGTTAATATACGCTTTGTATTAGATCATTTGCTATGAATGTGTTTCAGTGTAACTTGAACGTCATGTGCCAAAAGGATTTATATACTATATGATATTCAAGCTGACAGATATAAAGCTCGTCGTCTTCAAAAGCGCATCGCGGGCCACACACTGAAATGGGTTAAAGTACCGCTATCAATGCCAACTGCCAACCAGCCACGTTTGGATCTGCCAAGTGGCTAACCAACTATGTCAACGGCAGTGGCCATATCTGGCTGCATATTTCGCGTGCCAGCCCAGCTCTATGCGACGTACTACAGCTAAATTGGCAATGATGATGCCTGCTGCTGCCACTATATGAGTACAGTGGTTGGCGTTTTAATCAACGAGTTGTCAACTTTCCTGGTTGAATTTAAAAAGTTTCCACGCTCGCCGATCTTATCTCTGCAATGTCCTTATTTCTTTGTTCAGCCATAAAAGTTTGCACTCACCGTCAAAAGTTTTATTGCTTTAGCATGCTGTCAGGTGACATAAATGTACGGTTACTTAATTAAGTTTCATGCGGTCGTGGCTGTGGTTTGCACAAGGAGAAATTATCAATGAATAGTTTATGAAGGGCAGATGGCTTCATCTGCTTTTGTCTGCGATTTTCATCAAAGTTTTAACACTTTGCTCAGCAGCTTTTACAGTTATATAATTGAAGTTTTACCCAAAATCTTGTTAATGCCATTAGCGGTGACTGTGATAAGTGAAAAGTGGGCGGCTTCACGCCCACCAGTCAAGAAAGTCACACACTGCGTTTTGACCCAGTAAACAACGAAAAGTTAACATCATAAGTTCAAGAGTGGGCGAATTTATCGGCGTGTTTTGGTTAGTCATGTTTGCGCTCCTCTCTCTTCATTTCCCTTCGTTTTGACAGCGAATAATTAAAAAGGCGTAAAGCCTAAGCACCCAAACAATGACCCAATAAAAATTGTCTGTCACAAACAATTTTCAACATTCAAAAGTCCATAAAAACACAAATCAAACAACACGCAACAACAATTCAAATGAAAACTGATTGCACGCGTGAGAAAGAGAGAGAGAGAGGGGGAGGGATAGAAAATTGAGTGAAAATTAGTAAAAACACCTGTGAAATATGTAAGCTTATCGCAGGCGACCCAGAAAAAGTAGGAAAACGGCGGCACACAAAGTAAACATGAGAAATGCTCAGCACTTAAAAAGCAACAAAAATATTATAAAGAAGCCGGAACGATAGAGAGAACAAAAGCGAGAAATAGAGAAGATATCGAATGGGCAGCCCACGTGAGGCGCCCACGCAAAACCGGAAAGCTAAGCGCTTCAAAAAAAAAAAATATATATAAGACAAAAATACCGAAAACTTAAATCCAAACTTAAAGCTGGAGTTGAGGCTATGGCAACGTCATTGTCTGTGGCCAGCCTACATGGAGGCAGCTAGAAGACATTTGGCGCCAATTATGCTGTGGGCCGCAAATAGATAATAAACGAGCAGAAGGAAGCCTTAAATAATCAGCTAGAAGATACCCTTGTCAATCTTTGATATTACATAAATATATTAGTATTAGTATTTCGTGTAGTTCCCATTTATACAAGATTAAAAGTTCGCATATTATCTGTTTGTAATTGTAGCATAGCCTCTTTATACACATTTCGTTTGATACAGGGTATAAGAAGCGTCATATATGAAATATAATTATGATAAAGATGGAGTCTCGATGCAAACGTCTCCTACATATATTTATGGGTTGCTCGTAAATTTGAATGCGGACGTGGCCCGCTGTCAATTTGCAGATACAGGATGCCCGGGCCTTACGAATGGGGCGTGAAATGTGTGAATTTACGATGCGATATGATGAGCCAAGCAGCCGAGCAGCCGAGCGAGCAGTCAGGTTGATCACTAGAACTCGCTGCCCATATCTGTAGAGCACACACACTCTCTCTCCCTCTCTCTCCCTCTCTCTCTCTCTCTCTCTTTCTGTTTGCCTCTATGTACATATGTCATCGATAACACTTGAACCAACGTTGACAACGTTCAATGACCCAGCACTCATTCGCTCATACACTCACTCATTCACTCACTCATTCATTCACTCAGCGCGTTTCTCATCAGACTTAGTTGCTGCTCAGATAACGAGTCACCGAGTCGGAACTCAAAGTCGACTCGCCGTACATGTCATACGCCGTGCCGGGCATAAAAAAAAAAAAAAAAAATGGAATAAAATAAATGTCTAGAGAAGTGCTTGACTGGTTCACTCACTGAGCCGCATAAGTCACGTTTTGGCACATACATAACTCGCAAATGATTAGCATTTGCTCATAAAGTTATATAGACTGTGCTGGAATTCTGTGCTCCAGTGCCTCCTCGTCGTAGTTTCTCTGTGTTAATTGCATGATGATTGATGTCCATAGCACCCAGAGACAATGAGAGTTGCTGAAACTTGCCGAAGATGAAGGGAGGCAAGCTGTAATTTGTTACTCTTGGTCAAGTCTTTCGAAATTAAGGGTAATATCTTGGGAAAGGGGCCGCAGTACCAGCAGAGTGGCGTAATATATTAGGAGTGTCTGTGTAAACAGTAGACGATACGACTCGAATTGTTGCTGTTTATAATAAATGTTGAGCATTGTTTGCAGCCATAATCACTTGCATTTAGTTAGCTTCAAATGAATCCAAGATAAGCCCATGAAATATTGACTGTGTGAGGGTAAGAAACTCTTGGATATTGCTATGATGAATTAGTAGTATATATGCGAAAATTTATATTTCTGGTATTTCCCTTTTGCTAACAACTTAAGTTCCACTTAAGTAAATAAAATTTATATAAAACAACAGAAAACATTTTTTGCCCGATTCAATTAAGACTTTATCTCTGCATAAGTATAAAGCTGGCCTAAGCTCCATAACCAGCTTTTGCCATAAACAAATACCGCTAAGCTACAAATATATGTACATATATGACAAGTTCCATTCGCGTGGCTTGAATGGTTTCTGAAGTATGTGCAATAAAATAGGCGTGTGAGCTCATTTTCGCATAAATTTGACATCAGGCTGCGAGTGCTTAACGGTTGACTATAAAGCCATATAAAATAGCTCAGACATAAGTTTTATGAACTCGAGGCTTATGCTCGTTTGCAACTAAATGTTTCTATGTTTCTTTTTGATACTTGCAGCAAAATGGAGCAACATTCATTTGAACGATGAGGAAATCGAGTCCACATGCGCGTTATAAATATTAATGAAGAAACCAAAACGAAACGCAACGAGAATTCAATTGAGAGGAGCAGCAGCAGCAGCAGCAAATGAAATTATGCCAAACACTAGAATCGAACTGAGCAGCAACAAAGGCCACTTAAAAGATATATATTTTAGATGAACTGAGTCAAATGTGAAGCAGATGTGTGCAGTGAGTGGGGCATGAAGTTGTTGCTTCCACTTTAATTCCAATTGTTCGATTTTCTGTTCTGTTCTGTTCTCTGGAAGCGAACGAATCAAATCGCATTGTGCCACTATATCCACAGCTTTATAAGAAAACCAAAAACAAGGAGGAGCAAAATCCAAAGTGAATCGAGATATATTCAATACGAACCCAGTAGCATTCCAATTCGTAGCATTTTTAAAACTACAAACGAAAATTATAAAAGACAAGATTCGTGCAATCGCACGCATGGTGTATGCAATTCCGCACAGCTTAGAGTAAGTGCAGCAGAGACAAGGCTAACGGCAACTGTTCAAGTCCAAAATTCTCGTGTACAAAATGTCACTGGCTGACATGGGCACAGTAACACGCTCCACGGGCGGTGGTGGAGGCGGCGGCGGCGGTGGTGGTGGCGGTGGTGGGCGCCATTATGAGCTGAGCAATTCAGGCGGCGGACCGGGCGGTGTTGCCGGCGGCCGCATGACCCATTCGCTGAGCACGCCCAGCGGCGTCGACGGCACGCCCTCAACGCCCAGGCATCGCGGCGGCAAGAAGTTGACAGTGCGCATACAAATGCTGGACGATTCAATTACCATGTTTCAAGTTCAGGTAAGCGAAGCTATTATAACACAAAGTAACATCTATAAACCCAGAGTAACGTCACATACGTAACAGAGAATACTCATTATCTTACAAGAACTATACAGCTTTAGAATAATAAAGAACTGCTCTATTATTTATCTCCTTTAAGCACGTTTTAAGATAAGCAAAACTTATCCGACATGTACTTTACGTCATCTTTTATGGCCTATACACTCAATATAAAGCAATTAATTATTGCATCCCATAAAAGCAATTGAATTAAACAGATATAAAGAGACTCGGCAACAATAGGTTTCTTAATCGCAATCTGATCAGTTTTCCATTTGAGGACTTGCGCAACTGCACTTACGTGAAAGCCCTAATGAAATTGTTCGACAATATCAAATTAAAAATTGTTGATTATATCATCTTTGCCGAGGATCCGCATATTCTTCGACAACACAAAGATAAGTCCATTAACTCCTATAAAGCTTCTACTATAGCAGCACCCCTTTTCAATTAAGTACGGCCTTATTAATTTAATATCCATTGAGCTATTACCATCTGCTTGCACGGCCTTGTCTGCATCGATATTTTCAATTACTTGACGGCCCTATGATAAATGTTACTTACAAAAGTCTAGTTAGGCTTCGCGGCTTACGTCATATTTCGGTTTGTGCCGCAACAACTTTTCAATAATTCTATTAAAAAGTTTCGCTACACATATATATGTATATATGCATTATCAGCAAAATTGTTGACTTTTCTTTTGCTTTTGGCTTGCCCCTAACCAGATAAGCTCCAAAGAATGTGCTCAGAATAATAATAATAAAACAAGTAAGAAGACTCTAGTCGAGACTGCTCGACTAGGAGATACCCTGAACCCTCCAAGCTGATATTCTTATCATTCTGCACTTCTTTTATGCACGCACACATACATTTACA